TCATACTTCAACATAAAATCGAATTTTTGCACATTAGTTTAATACTTATCAACCAAACCACATTAGAATAGTTAATTTAAATTTTAAAATGCATAAGACTTGCTCGCTATAATTCCGTTTAATTCAATTAAACTATCTCCTAAATCAACATAGAAACTTTCCATCTTAAAATTATTTCCATTTGTGAAATCGAATCCCGTCATGTGCTCAATCAAGAATCAAGATAGACATGTTTTCCTATATCAAGGATTATTTTTTCCTTTGTTGAACAATTGGTTTCCGATGTTTTAAATATACATTTCTAAATTAAAAGAAATGGTTTTGTAATCTAGAAAGAGATGGCATTATAACTTGTTGTCCTAATCCATTCATCATTTTTCAAAACGAAGACCACCATTAATCTTCAAATGTTGCGTCTAAGCCGTATCTAGACTAAAAAAAAATTAACAACTTTTTTTTTTTTTGAAAATTAAGTAAATATATACACATTTGAATGTTCATAGGTGTGCATGTATGCACATTTATTGTTTTTGTAACCTCCAATTTTGGGATGTTTCAATATTGAGGAAGACGGACTTAATTTGATCATGAGAAGATCTTAGGCTTTTAGGGTTGAAGTTTGGACATTAAAGGAATGATGTTTTGGGTTAAGAGTATAAGATTTTAGATATAAGGTTGATTTGGGTTAGAATGCAGTTTGGGCTTAAGCTGATTTGGGCCTTGTTGGACCAGACGTATCATGACACGACACGTAGGCTGTCACGGTGCGATTTTCGTTGCAGCACAAGCTAATGTTTTTAATATTTACTTTGTATTTAAGGGCGTGATCACTTGGAATTAGGTCATTCATCAGCTTCCAACTTCTCGAAACGTTTTGTACCCTAATCTCCATGCTTGAATTTTGAGTGTTTAAGTCCTTTTTGATAAAGCTTGATGGTGAAGGAAGTCTCTCTCGGTGCAAGAAAACTGGAACATCGTACAGGAACGGGTATTATCTTGTCGATGAGATCTATCTGGAGCGTGCTTATTTAATGAAGTCATTGTCTTGTCTAAATTATCGCAAAATGTTGAAGTTTAAGAGAGCTCAAGAGAAGGCAAGATATGATGTTGAACGAGCACTTGGGGCTTTGAAAAAACATTGACATATTCTTAAATATCCCGCGCCTGATTTAGAGGAGAAGAAAATCAGTGAGGTGATGTATACTTGTATTATATTGCATAATATCATTCTTGAAGACGAAGGAAATGCAATATATGAGTATATAGAAAATGGGATCGTTCCACTGACACAAGCTTTTGAGGTTGGAAGCACGGAGTACCTAGCAAGGAGGGCAATAATTCATGATGTTGAGATGCATTATGTTCTTCGTAGGGACTTGATGGGACATATTTGGAACGTCCACCACATCGATCTTCACGCGGAACCGATCGATGATTTGGAAGCTCAATTTTCCAATGAATATCCCATTTCGGTCTATCTAGGTTTGGTAACTTTAGATTCTATGTTTTTTTTTTTAATTCTAAGTTTTTTTGTTGTGCTTTTTCTATTTTTCTTTGAATTTTAATGAAATTGTAGTTTTAAATTACATTAGTTAAATTGATTATTTTTAATATAAATTAATTTAAAAAAAAGATGGTAAGTGTAGCAACTCATATCATGAAAATGACTATTGTGGCAAGTAGTGTGACAGATATGATGTGACACTGATGTGGACCGTGACAAGAGTGACACTATGTGGACCGTGATAAGAGTAACACTACATCCACCAGTTGCCTTAGAGGGTGCGAATTGTTGTTTTTGTCATGCTAATTTTTTTTACTAAAACTAATTTATATAAAAAATAGTCGATTCAAACGAATTATTTTTATAAAAACTATTTCATCAACTTGAAAAGAAGTTACAACACTTAAAAAAAATACAACATAGAAGAAAACACAAGAAACTTCAAATTAAATAAAATACAACACAATTTAAATTAAAAAAAAAAACATAAGACACTTAAACTTAAAACAAGCTTCAAATTAAAATAATACACGTGACAACTTAATTCAAAATATTGATATCATTTGTCAGATTTGCTTACAACTATCAAAACTCCACTAACTGAAAATGTTTATTACTTTCTACACGGAAAGTTCGAAGAGCATTAGCAAACAATATTTCATCATTTTCATCATCTGTTGAATTACGCCTCAGCCTACTATACACGATGTGGAATTGTATTACCACTGCGTTTGTTGATCTCTATTTGGCGAAGATTTGATCCTTACTTCGTTGGCTCCCTACAGCTGTTTTACAGTTGTACCATTGTGTGATCTTATTCTTCTCCCATTTATGTAGTTGATGTGATTTGGATTTTCATTTACATTGACTCATGCACGAGCCAAAATTATATCTTCCTCTTTGCTCCATATACGAACCATTTTGAAAGATGAAGAAGGTTAGAAGATGATAGAAAATATAAAAGGATATGAGAGTTGAATGATAATGTATGAATGCGGTGGAAAATGAAGAATGATGTTGGTATTTATAGTAGATAATGGAAGGTTTAAAAATCGGGAAAAAAAAAAAAAAAAAAAGATGACTATATTTCGAAAATGGTTTTTTTTTTTTTTTTTTGAAAAATTGGGTATTTTTGAAGAGACTATGGATGTAGTCTTCAAAAGAATTGACTTTACCATACAAAAAAAGTTAGCGGCACAACTTGTTGTCCGTTTGCCTTATCACCCGTTCTATGATGATAACTAAGATTTATTGTCTTTAATATAAAAATAGCAAACACATACACACATAACGGTTTCTTTCTCATCGTATACCTTCACCAAGTTTGGCCACCGAACTCGGCATGCCGAGTTAGTGGTGCCGTGTTTATCAAGGCTAGCTCGGACATGCCCAGCCTTGCCATAGCCCACTCTCCCCCCCCCCCCCCCTCCCCGCCTTAAAATTGGATCCTCTATGATTAAAACTATTTTTATTTTATTTTTTTACATCAATTTTGATTTTGTGATGTTTCTCTCAACCTAAGGAATTGGTTAATACTATGAAGCTCTATTTTGATTGTGACAGTTTTTTTTTAAAGATTTTTACCATAAAAAACTTAAAAAAATTTCTTGATCACAAATCATGATTTTCGTAAAACTTGAACCAATTTCACAATATGGAAAGTACATTTTGCAATTCTAAATTATTATGAATTTTGGTTTTTTGCAATTCTAAATTATTATGAATTTGGGTCTACTTATATATATTTTGGGGGCATTCATTCTCTTTGTTTAGTCTATGTTTTGTTGTTTACATTTTATGTTTTCAAACTCTTTGTATCATCTAAAAGTCAGAGAAAACTTCCTATGAATTGGAATTCCATTGCTCAACAGATTAAATACTAGGGAAAATGACCTTTAAGGGTAATAAAGTGTTCTATAAGTACTCATTTGGTCCCTTATCTTTTTTTTTTTTGTCTTTATTATACCACTGAACTTACTAATCCTGCTCACTGAAACCCTCGATACCGGTTATCACCTGTTATGTCGGTTATCTCATTTAAGTAGAGATGACATGTCGTATTACGTGGACCTAGACCACATTGCAAACCCATTAATCTTTCACCCCCAATTCTCCTTACAGTTAGGGTTTAATCGAAGAATACAGTTACGAAATTGAAGAGAAGTGGTGAATGCGAGTGTTACAGTGAAGAAGATGGCCTCCGATTCCAAACTCCATAAGTATTTGACAGTTTATGTACATTATAATGGTTTATTTGCACCAAAACCATTAGTGTACTTGAACTTTGTTGTTGTTTCAATCGCTGATGTTGATTTTGGTGGAATGGATCTCAAAGATTTTAAGTTGTTCATTGAAAAGTTGATTGAAGGCAGTTGCGATAATGTATATTATTGCACTAGAAATGAACCATTGGCAGAGGGTATTAGGAGAATTGGGAATGATGCTGACTACTATGAGTTTATTGAAACGGGTTATAGTGATGAAGTTGGTCTAACAATGAATGTGTATATAGACCACGAAAATGAACCTGTACTTGATTGGGCTGATATGGAAGTAGTAGAAGATGATGAAGGGCATTATTCTGAGCCAGACATGGATGATGATAAAGAGTCACAACTTTCTGATGATATTCCATATGAGCATGAAGCAGATGGTTACATTCCTTCTCTTGACAAAACTGCTGGTGATGAATTCTTACACCGGGTGTTAGGTATTTCTAAGGATTAAAATGATGAGCTTGAAACTGATGAGGTTGAAACCAACAATGGGGATGACAAACCAGTGTACCCTGTCCATAATGAGAACCAGAAATGGGACAAAGTGGTGCCAATTCTAGGTATGAGATTCTCTAACCCTATGGAATTGAAATTTTTTTTGACTAACTATGCAGTGAAGAATGGGTACAATCTTTATTATGAGAAAAATGATAGTCACAGGTTATTAGTGAGATGTTGTAAAGATAGCAAGAACCCCTATTGTCCTTTTAGACCGTGGTCTTCCTGGATGAGTAGTGAAAGGTCTTTCCAGATTAAGTCCTTAGTTAATGACCATAACTGTTCAAGAGTCTTCAAACTTGGTTCCATTGTAACATATAAATGGATTGGAAAACATTTTAAGAATCAACTTTTGAAGAACCCCAAAATGAGCATAAGGAAAATGAAAGCCAAAGTGAGTACAAAGTTTAACTTGATTGTTAGTGTGACTCAATGTAGAAATGCTAGGAGATATGCTTTGGATGAGATAGAGGGTAGCTTGATAGAACATTATGGTAAAGTATGGAGTTATGGTGAAGAAATAATGAGGATAAATCCTGGTTCAACAGTAAAGATAGATGTGGATGTCATGCCTGATTCCACCACTTACTTTTCTAAAATGTATGTTTGTTTTAAGGGTGTGAAGGATGGTTGGATTGTAGCATGTAGGAGGGTAATAGGGGTAGATGGTTGTTTTTTAAAGGGTATATGTAGAGGCCAACTGTTAGCAGCTATGGGTAGGGATGCAAACAACCACATCTTCCCTAATAGAAAATAAGGAAACATGGAAGTGGTTTCTTGACCTCCTACTAGATAATATTGAAATGGGAATTGGTCATGGATTGACCCTCATATCAGACCAACACAAGGTATATTTTCTTTTATGTTTTGTTTGAGTTCAATGTTTTTTGTTATGTCATCCATTTCTTGTTTCTTTTAGGGATTGGTAGAGGCTATCAAAGAAAGAGTTCCAGCAGCAGAGCATAGACAATGTGCTAGGCACATCGATGCTAACTTCAAGAAAAGATTCAAAGGTGAACAATATAGGAAGTTGTTTTGGGCAGCTGTTGCAAGTACTACTCAACCTAAATTTGAGGCAGAAATGAATTACATAAAAACAATTGACCCTTTAGCTTATGAACACCTCATGGAAAGGGATCCTAAAAGTTGGTGCAGGGCATTCTTTGAAGTGGACAGGGCTTGTGATGCTTATGAGAATGGCATATCAGAAAGTTTCAACTTTGTTATTGATCTTGCTAGGAAGAGACCACTCTTCACCATGTTGGAAGAGATTCAGATTTATGCAATGGAGAGGATGTATAGAATGCTGCTAGAGGGACAAAGTTGGGGTAATTTAAAAATATGCCCATCTATAAGATTAAAGATATCAAAGTTAAAGAAACAGCAAAGGTATGATATAACTTGTATTTTATATGTATTAATATGTCATCTAGTATATTAATAGAATTTGTTATTTTTGTGGATAGATTTTGGGGAGTTATACCTTCTGGGGTACAAAAATATGAGGTTAGGATTGGAAATGATGGATATGATGTGGACCTTAACAACAACACATGTGGATGTAGATCTTGGCAAGTATCAGGTATCCCATGTGTGCATGTAGTGGCAGCCATTTCATACCTCAACAGGAATGCAGAGGACTATGTTGCACCATGGTTCCATACAACCATGTTCTTGACTTGTTACAACCACACCATTAACCCACTTAATGGTAGTTCCATGTGGCCTGAAGCTCCCTACATGAAGCCATTGCCTCCTCAAAAAAGAAGGTTACCAAGAAGGCCAACCCTTAAAAGGAAAAAGGATCAATCTGAGATGGAAAGCAAGGGGAAAAGAAGGCATACTATCTCAAAAGCAGGTTCAGTTAATAGATGCACTATTTGTAGAGAAAGGGGCCATAATAGATCAACATGTCCTACTAAACCAGCAGATGTGGCATCCACTTCAAGGCCAAATAACAAGAAACCTAAAAAATGTAAAAAAGAGAAAGGCATGATATTAAAACAATATAATTTAAATGGAACATCCAACTCATTAACTACATATTTGTATAGCAGGTAAAGTGGAACCAGTTCAAGCAGATCCAGTGGATCCAGTTCAAGTACCAACTCCAAATATTGAACCAATTCAAGCAGATCCATTGGATCCAGTTCAAGTACCACATGTTGAACCAGTTGATGATCCAACTCCACATGTTGAACCAGTTCAAGTAGATGATCCACATCCAAATGTTGATGTCCCTGCTCAACCAGTTGCAACTAGGAAGAGGATACAAAAATACTCAGAAATAATTACCAAGATAGGGTTGAGGAAGAAGGTTTTGAAGAAAAAAGGAAGCACTGGACACAACCCAATGGTGTTGGAATGATTTTATGTTTTATTTTTTTTGGAAAGACAATCTTTTAGTCTTGTAATTATGTAATTGGGAAAACTTTAAGAATCATGGCACATGGCACATCTTTTGACATATTAGGACAACTGTGGGCACAGCTTTTGTAATAGTGCACATGCTGATGGAATATTACAACTTTGTCTTTTATCTATATGCTTTGGTGTACGGTTATTTGCATATAGATTGTTTAATCTTATATTATCTATCATAAATCAAGTAGATTTAGTATTAATACATTAAGCAATGTTTGATGTTGTTGTTGTTGTTGTTAATCTGGACCATTTTACCCTTGGATCACATCAAGACATTAACAATTGATTACTGCCAAATTTAATCTGGACCATTTTACCCTTGGATCACATCAAGACATTAACAATTGATTACTGCCAAATTTAATCTGGACCATTTTACCCTTGGATCACATCAAGACATTAACAATTAATTAATGCCAATATTTAGTCTTAATACATTAAGAAATGTTTGATGTATCCAATGTGGTTAATATGGACCATTTTACCCTTGGATCACATCAAGACATTAACAATTAATTACTGCCAACTTTAATATGGACCATTTTACCCATGCATCATGTCCAATTCACTAACCTGTTAAACACATTAATACTTCTTGGAAAGCACTCAAAACATCAAACTATCATTAATCAAAAGGATTTAGTCTTAATACATCAAACAAATTACAACATTAAGGATTACATTTAGTCTTTGAATACAGCTAAACTAACTAGTTCTTAAACACAAACAACAGAAACAACACAATCATCACAACTTTATGAGTAAATAACTTCCATTTGAGTTTTTCAAACTCTTGTCTAACAACCAAGTTTTCTTGTTCCATCTTCATCTTACAAATGCTGATCTCGTTTTCTAATATAGAAACTTTGAGGGTTAAATTGCACAGTTCTTTTTTGTCCTTCCCAGAATTGACTTCATTTTCAGGGGTTTTAGGCTCCAACCATTCCCAGAACTTGCATTTTGGTCCTTCATTCTTGAAAAAAGTAACAAATTGGTTAAAGAAAGATGATTAAACGAAAAGTAAAAAACATTTGGTTCGTGAAGAAGATTAAACGAAAAGTACAAAACATTTGTTTTACCATGGAGTTAGGGCACAATCTGAATTTTTTTCCTAGATTGTCTTTAGTTCGTGAAGTTCGTACACGAGATGGTAACCCACAGTAACAAGGATTTTCAGGTTGAAATTCAACATTTTGTTTGGAAGAAATAGAAGAAGAAGAAGAAGAAGAAGAAGCATCCATGTCGATCTAGGGCAAGAACGATGCAATACTGCAACTTTGCAATTAATAAGCCCAGTTAATCGCACATAATGCCACGTAATATCCACACAACTAGTAACCTACAACAACCGGTATCAAGGGTTTTGGTAAGCAGGATTAGTAAGTTCAGTGGTATAATAAAGATAAAAAAAAGATAAGGGACAAAATGAGTACTTATAGAACATTTTATTACCCTCAAAGGTCATTTTCCCTAAATACTATTACATGGGTATGAGACCAATGGGCCGTCGTATGCAATACAATAGGCTAAATAAAGCCTTATACAAATACAGATATACATGGAAACATATATTAATTAATATCATCGTCCAGTTTTCGGTTAGCTTTTAGTTTGTCTATTATTTGTTTGCCATTCATAGAAAAAGTAACACAAATAATGTTAGGCCAAACGGTCGTTATGTATGTATAGAATTCATTACTTTTAGGTTCATTAAATAAATTATAATTTCCTTTTAATTCAATTAATATCGTCAATATTATATACAGACCATACAAATATGACAATAATGAATAATAGGTTAAATTAAATAGTTAAATGACCTTCGAAGAGCAATTAATGTCATATTCGATCACTTAATTTTGGACTTTATACTTGTATGATCATTTAAATTGATTTACATTTTAAAAAATCACTTAACTTGATATTTTCTTCCAAAATGGTCGGTATAACTAGTTATACCCGGGGGCGGACACATAAATACATATTATGTGTTGCCAGGATGAAATAAGTGTTGCCGATAGATGAAAAATAAGTAAAAAATCGAGAAAATTTCTACTGCGGACAAAAAAATAGGTGTTGTCGGTGTTACACCGGGAACCATCTAAAACCGCCCCTGGTTATACCCCATTATCGATAACTCTTTTTAGGGTTAAGATCATAATTGATCACTTAGCTTTTGGTTTTGTGTTTATTTGATCACTTAGCTTTTAGTTTATATTCATTTGGTCATTTAACTTTTAGATGAAGACTTAAGGAGTTCAGTACAATCGGTCATAGTGATCATTTGAGACAAAACTATCAACTTAAATGACTTTTAAAACTCAAACTAAATTAAGTGACCTAGCAAGCATAAACCTAAAAGTTAAGTGAATAAATATAACCTTATCCCTTTAAAGAAAATATCAAAATGAGATTGTGTTCGGGTTTTCTCTCGGTGAAACATTTATACTACATCTATTTGGACTTTAAATATTCTACATAAAAATATTTGTAACAAACTAGAAAACTACAAAAACTAATGGGTAAATTACTACAGGGTAATGAACTCTTATTTTTGTTTATATTTCGTCAATTTCTTTCTTTTTGTACAAAATATTCTAGTAAATAGTCATTTTGTGTTCAATACATATCCTTACGACCGACAATAACCTCTATTGTCGGTTTCATAATATATTCCATGGAAGTTTGAAAAAAAAACTATTAACTTTTTTTAAGCCATTATGCCAACTTTCATTAATCCAAAATACATTTGACACTACTAATAGCCATTTCGTAACTACTAATTGTCATTGATCCCTAGCCTAAAAACATTAAACTAGTTTAACTATAAACATAACAAACAACACAAAGATTATTTATTTGAAAGTGAACAACTTCCATTTTAGTGATTTTATGGATGTTAATGAGACCAAACGGTGATGGAGTAGCATCCCCCTCTACCACTCTCGAATTCACTACTCCCCATCCCATGTGCCTTTACTCCGACTCGAAGTTCTTTCATTTCCCAGCCCTTAATTCCAATATCACCTCCACTATTGTCTTTGTTTCTCCTCTTTGGCTCGAAATCCCCCATTTAACCTTCATTGCCCTATTTTTCACTGGTTTGTTTTTAGCCTACATTTTAGACTAACTATTCAAATATATAACATATCTTACATAATGGATACTCTAATTTTAATACTTATTTTAATACATAAAAACATTAAAAATAATATAATTATTTCAGTGGATGAGGTATTTGGGACGAGGCTTATCGCCCCCACACTCACCATGAAAAACTAAATGGGAAAATCACCCCAAACTCAAAAACATTGTAAAAATACCCTCATACGAAGACATGGTCTCGTAGGGTGAGAGTCCCACGAGGGTTTGTGACACTCCTAAGTGACTCCGATTGTTCTCTAGCAACCATAGCTTTATGGTCCATCTTCATCATATATATGCTCATGTCATGTTCCAATGCAACAACTTTAAAGATAAATCACAAGGTTCCATTTCATATATCTTCATTGACTTTGAACTTCTTGGTTGAACCTTCTAGATCGACTCACTCCC